AGCAACTGTGACTGTCTATACTGGGTCCACATAAGAATGGCCCCATCAACAGCCGGGTGTACACGGAGGAGGGACGAAGGGTACCCGAGCCCTCGTTGCTGAACTATTTGCTACTGATGGATTCAGGGAGAGGCAGACATCATTCCCTTTGGTTGTATATCCACTGGTGACCCCATCAGGATCCAGTGAATGGTCCCAAACTCATGGTCACACAGATAGCCCTGGGTAACCTACATGGGTCACAAAACAAACACAAAAGTCATGAATCTGGGGCAGGAAGATAAGAGAGAGTGGGGGAGATAGAAATCACAATGCGTTATAAACATGCATGAAATTGTCCCACTTCCTTCATTAATTTTTCTAAAAGCATCAAAAAGAGGAAGAGAGCTGAGCCCTGTGTTCCCCTCTCTCTGTTTCCTCATCAGCCTCCCACTAGCACTGACAGGAGGCAGTCCCACCACCAAGCCTTCCAGGCCAGGATGGTGTATATCCCCTGGCCCATGAGACAAAATAAATCTTTTCTCCCTAAGCAGCTTCTTGGCCACAATAATAAGGAAAGTCACTAGCAGAGGGTCAGTTTGACACACCCAAGCCACAGAAATGACCATATCCTGTGTTTGTGCCCTAGTGAATAAGGCCCAGATAATGAACACACTTTACACAAAACCTTGACTTTTACTCCATTATTTATAAGAGTGAATGGTGGTACTGGAGAATCATCTTGGGCAAATATTCTTTTAGTGTGAGGCTGTCTTCCTTTGACTAGCTGACACTCCCCTAAACTGGCTGCTGCTCGCAGGCCCCAAGTTAAACATAAAGCAGTGTTATTATAAATTAGCTGCATGAACTGCAGTGCAAATGCCGCACTTAAAATCCTGTCAGAGAATATGAGTGTTGATCCTGTGCTGAGCACGTTTACTGGGGGTAGAATAAAGAAGCAGAGGTGACCGATAAAAATCTCCATCACAGGCTGGAGAGACAGCTCAGAAGTTAAGAGCACTGGCTGCTCTTGTTAGAGGACCTGGGTTTGATTTCCAGCATCCACATGGCGACTAACAACTATCTGTAACCCGGTTCCAGGGGGTCCGATGCCTACTGACATCTGTGAACATTGCAGGACACGGGTACACTTACACACATGCAGGTAATACACTCATACACATAGAAGAAAAAAAATATTTTTAAAAAATCCCCATCACATGGAGAGCATGGATCAATGGAAGGGACAGATAATACACACATCTGCAAGGGAAACAGGGAAGCACGTCGGGCAGCAATAAACTAAAACAACAAATGGGACAAAAAGAACAAGTCAAAGTAGCGGGAGTAACGGTTTAAATTGGGGTGATCAGGTCAGGCCTGCGGTGGACAGAACCGCAAAAGCTGAACCTGCAGAAGGCGAGAGAGCAAGCTGGACGAGCTGGGCAGTTGTGTGGGCCTGTGGTCCGAGGAGCAGTTTGTTTGTGACGAAATGAATTGTGAGAACTGAGTTACTTTTGCAGACAGTACAGTCTCTGAACTTCTTGTCACTTTCAATTAACCAGGCGTATACCCAGCCCGCTCGTATGCCCAGCCAGCTCGTATACCCAGCCCGCTCGTGTGCCCAGCCCGCTCGTATGCCC